GTCACTTGAGATCTTCTATTCCCTAAAAAGCAGCAATGCAGGACTCCAATGCAACAGCTGTCTCTGCAATGGCCTTGCACACATTATGAATCATAGAATCAACCAGGCTGGAAGAGACCTCAAAGATCATTGAGTCCAACCCTAGAGCAGCAACACACTGAAGCAAAGGAGCCTGGAATTTTTAGGAAGCCACTACTGAAGAGAAGTAGTTGTGTTTTACAGGTCTATCAGCTAACCAAATAGCCACTAACACCATGTCATTAGATTTCCACATCTCTCTTTTAAAAGACCAATATTTGATGTATGTATTTATGACCCATGTCACACTCAACAGTATTTAGCCTATTTTCACTGCTTTTAATGAACACACAAGTACACTCAGAGGTCTCAGAAACCAGCACAGAATTGTACTTCTTATTCTTCTGCACTGACGTGTGGGAAATTTGCTCTTTTACACTGGCACATTCCAAGTCTGCCAAGGTCCACCGAGCACCACAGGACACCCCGGGCACACTTGACCTCGCTGGGGCACCCTGACACTGCCACTGTCTGCTGGTCACACTGCAAACTGGTAACTCACTGCCATCTCCTGGCAAATTCTGTACAGACCGAAACAAAGCACTGCCTGACACGGATGCTGTGTAGGATCAGCCTGATTAGAGAGAAATTAAAAACTACAACAACACTTAAGTGGTAGCAAGAGAAGCACCCAAGAATCCTTAAGGATGGCACAGACTCTCTGTCCCTTTCCCTCCCTCTAAAATTGCCCAACATTTGGGCAGAACTTCAGGCTTGCTCGTGAGAGAACTTCCAGCATACACAGGAGCCTGGTAAGAACAGCAGCTCACAAGAGTTATCATGTGCACACTAACAAGCAATACAAGGTGTAGTACCCAGCCCAGTCTTAGAGCTTCTCTGTTAGGCAAAAATCACAGAATTGGAAAGCCCTGAAACAAGAGTTGTCTAAATTTCAGTTGCTGTTAAGTGATCTTATTAATCTGCCTACAGCAAAAGGGTTTTTTTCTGCTACTTTAGGGGAAACCTGAAAAATTCACATTAACTCTTCTATGGAATCTGACACACTTGCTCCAAAAGGAAATTCAGTATTCTTCAGACCATTTCATATAAGAGATGACTGAGAGTACACAGAAACTTTCCTGAGCTGGTTTATTTCAGGCAAAGAGAATGAGACTGAGGAAAGTATCACTGATTAAATTACAAGCCAGCAGCCATCACTTAGCTGTAAAACCATCTTCCCACTCTTGCAACTACTGAATCTCATGATAATACAACCACATACAATCCCACTCAACTTTGCTTCTACCTTTGTGCATCACCGTGCAGATGTTCCTACTCCTTGTGTTCTGCCAGCAGAGTTGCACACCCTCTGCCCCATCTCTCTCCCATTTTCTTGCTCTGGGACTTTTCCCAAGTCATATTTTCTAACTATTCCATTTACACAACTGTGAACAAACATACTTGGGCTGAAGTTTCAACTTACTTTTATTCCTGCCTGCAAAATTCACACGCAACGTTCAATTTTGAAATCCACCCCAGGTTCTCCTCCACAGCTTTAAGCACCACAGGATCATTAGTGAGGTACAGCTCAGTGCTGACACAAACACTGTTGACTTCCCTCCTCGAGCCAATGTCACACAGCACTTAGGAGTCCTGTCCAGATGGGAACCTCCTCATCCTCAAGTGCCATCATAGATGGCACATTACAGACCAACCAATGCCAGTAACAGCTGCCACTTGACCCATTAGCCTTCCTAGACCCATTTGTCTAGCAGACCTGACAAAATACCAGTTTTTCTCCATTTCTTCAGGGCATTAAGGAAACATGTTTTGAGGAATACTGTTCAGCACACACTGGCCTTCAGTTTGTTAGTAGAAAGACTAATGAGCCCCAGAATTTCCAAGGCATGCACTGATGAACTGTGCTATAAGCACTTGAATGCAGGTGATGACCAAGTGGGAACAGCTGTTGTCACCACTGTCCTGTCTTTTCATCTCGCGCTCTCAAGGGATTAGCTTCCTGCTAATTTCTGCTAAACATTTTAAAGCCTCAGTAATTTTGCATTTTCTGGTAATTATTACTTCTTTTGCTTTGCACCTACTGTGGAATTAGTGGAGGGAAAAGATCTCCATCTGCCTTTAAACCTACATTGCTGCTGCTGAGATACCTTGTTAGAATGTGTTTAGTATTTGGCTTGATTTGTGGCCACCATGGGGAAGAAAAATAAAGTAAAATTGTACTACCTCAATTCAACACTGAACCTCTTCAAACAGATAACTAAACTCAAGTGCAAGTTCAGCTGAGGTCCTGGCATTGTTTTCCTAAGGATTTATTCACTGAAGTGCTTCAAATCTCAATTTGTGCTCCTCCTCCAACCTCTTCAAGAAAAACACTCCACAAGTAGTAGGTGCTTAAGTTCAGTTTGTCTTGTGTTTACTGACAGACCACAAACAGCTAGAAAGATCTGTGTAAGTTCTACCTTTTCAAAATTGGTCTGAGTCCAAAAGACACACAGCTACAGAGTTTACCTCCTTTCAGTGTGACAGCAGCAGAACCAGGTTAAGTGCATGATAAAATGAGCAGTAGAACACGTACGATGAGCAAGCAGTGAAATCTTTTGCCAGCTGTAAAACCACTGGCTCCATTTCTGCCACCCTCAGCCTCTCCTCCCCTTACCTGAACTTGCTCACAGCTCGGTGGTGTAACACAGGAACTGCTGGACAAGTAGACTGGCAATGGTGGCTTCAAAGGCAACTCTGCAGCTATTCTCAAAGCCTGAAAAAACTTAAGGAAACTCTGGAATCAAGTGAGCTTTAAGAACAAGGTGTGGCAATCATACTTTAAAAGCTTAAATAACTTATAGAAGCTGTTCAGTGCAAGTATTTATTCATACCCAAGATGGAAGGAACTACTTACAAAGCAAGACCGACTAAGTGTTGCTACTTACACTCAGGAGTGTATTGAGAGCTACTGATTTGAGGCCAAGGTGGAAAGTTCCCTCAGCACTCAGATGCATTATGACTAGAGGCAATACCAGTTTCAGTTCCCAGTTGTTCCTCAAATAAATATTTTACATGGTTTAGTTGCAAATGTATGTTCAAGGATGAAATATTGACATCTTGGAATTCAGTCGAGTGGGTATGACACAGGAAAGGAAACTTCTGTGCAAGCCCTAACACCATCACAGATATTAAGAAAAAATATAAGGTCAGTTAGAACTAGACTGAACTCATTTTATTTCCTTCCAAAAAGAATAGACACTAATTTAACTGTATACAGAATTTAATTTAACTATAACTATACAAGTTTCAGTATATTGTCCTGTTCAAAAACTGCTTATATATAGAAAAGAAAAAATACTGCCAAAATTCTAACGCATACTTTACAATTAAATGCCCCAACCTTCTTTCTACCCCTAACAACCTCAGACTAGAGTTGCAGTGTTCAGATTAACTCCATGCACTGATGACAATTCCCTCAGTCTTAAGTGCAGTTTCCTTATTACTCATGTTTTTTTCCATTAGCACCAACACTGGACTCAAAATTCAGTTTTACAGTATGAGCAATGCAAACTTTGGATGAACCTTGTGAAAACGGAATTCAGGAAAAGATTAACAACAGTTTTTACTGCATTAAAATATGTTACATGCCTCTGAAAAATAACTTATGCATTTCTGTGCATTTTCTTATGTTTATTCATATGTCACATTTCACTAGAGTATCTGCAAAGTTCTTTCTTTGAACATCTGAACAAATGATTAGCAACCACTCTTGGTTAGACCATCAAAACTCAACTCCAAGTTCTCTGAGAACTCCAAGTTCCTATTTTGAATCCAAAGGTCACCAATAAGCTTCCAAGAATTTTCACCTTTATACTCAAGTCAAAGTTAGCCAAAAGACAATTTTCTTTTTTTTTCCCCCTATTATGACCATTCAACTCTGCCATTCCTCCACTTCCTAGGGTGTGTTAAACCTCCAAGATTCCTTAAGCTGACTAAACAAAGGTGCCTGTTTAGTTATTCACTGCATTGTTTTACCTAGCTGCTGTCCAGGCACACTGAAAACTCTCCACTACACTGCCAGGTCTCCACATCCACCATTCCAGTTACTGGAATTCTAGGCCACTCAAAACCAGAATTACAGTCAGCAATTCTGTTGGGATATACCACCTGACGTGGCATTATGGAATTGCATCACAAATCACTGTAATTGAATGCAAAGTAAAGGAAACTTGAGTTTATTTAGCTTCCAATTTCTGGGAGGTCAAGAGGAACTAGAACTGCCCTGGACAACAAAAGAAAATAGACTGTGCTTACAGATATTTTTCTGCCAGATTCTTTCTTTAGGACCACTGTTTTATTGTTGCCCTTTCTATTACATGGGGGGATGTACATATTATCAGGTGTTAATAAACGGTCAGTGCCTGTACAATACATTCTACAACTGAGCACCACTTTCCGTAACTGAACAGGCGAAGAAATTACACTGAACATCAGCATCTGGCAGTATTTCTCCAAAAAAAGTGACTAAAATGGGTTTAAATTGATTAACACTATTAAATCACATCTAATATTTGATACTACATGATTTCATTACAGCTATACGATACAATTATACAAAATGTGTTAACATCAAAGAATACAACCAAAATTAAGATAGCAAACAAAACCTATATAACTTTTTTTTTCTTTACAGGAAAATACTTTTGAAGTATGCATGTAACTGCCCATTCTTTTAAAGAAAATCTACCGCAAGCAAGTTATCAACCTCCAGAAGATCACACATAGCATTACTACGCATATCCCCAAAAAGTGTACAATATGCACACTTGGAAAATACAAAATTAAAAAAATTGTAAGCAACAGGTGAGCTCCATATTTATAAGAATGTGAAAACAAGTCCAATTTTAGCACTGTTGTAGAAAGAATTGTCTGTTTTTTTGTCTGCTTTTCTTTTGATGCCAGTTCACCAGCTGGCCCGTCCGTGTTCTTGGAACGGGGTTACAGAGCAAGGCAGAGCATCTTAGCAACGTCACCTTAGAGTTGGTTTTGTGTGGATTTGTTGTATTAATTTTATTTTTTTTCCTTTTTATTTACTACTTATCAAAACGTGTCCTTTAGCTTTGTAGGGTTCTTTTTATTTTTTTTTTAAAATTCTTTCCTAGAAACAATATACAAAGGGGAGGCGTATTTACTTCCAATTCATTTTCCTGCAAGATGTTTTTGAGTTCAACAACTTTCTTTCTCCAGCTTTCACTGGTTGTTTTTGGCCTTAGCGTGTGTTAAGATGTGAGATTTCAGGTTAGTTGATTGCGCAAACTTCTTATTGCAGCCGTCGAATGGGCAAACATAGGGCCTGTCACCAGTGTGAATTCGCACGTGTGTGCGTAAATTGAAGTCCAGTGAAAAGCGCTTTCCACATCCTTCAAACGTACACTGTGGGGAGGAAAAGACATTCTCTGTTAGCTGATGACACACTGATCGTTTCCGGCGCTGATTAGAACAATTAGTTGTCTTGAAAAATCACAAATATGAAGGGACACACGCTGAGTGATCATAGGGAGAGGTGTCTGCATTGTTTGTGGACTGCACTGCAAGAAATACTTCTGTATGTGCACTGAAGGATACTATGTGTAGTATGCATACAATAGTATCTCTGTTTTCAAAGAGGGGAATAAGTCACTTTCAGCTTGAAAGCAAATGCTGTCACTAAAAACACCTTCTCTGCATCTGAAACAGGATTTTCATAGAATCACAGAACCACCAAGGTTGGAGGAGACATCTAGGATCATCCAGTTCAACCATTAACCTCTCACTGCTGGAACCCCCAAACCAGATCCTCCAGCACCAGATCCAGGTGCCTCTGAAACACTTCCAGGGATAGTGACTCCATCACCTCCCTGGGCAATATCCCAGTGCCTCAACACCCTCACAGGGAAAACATTTCTCCTCACATCCAATCTGACTCTGCCCTGGCTCAGCTCAAGGCCATTCCCTCTAGTCCTCTCCCTGCAGCCCTGGCAGGACACACATCCCCCACCCCTCTCCAGCCCTGGCAGGAGTTGCACAGAGCCATGAGGTCACCCCTGAGCCTCTTCTCCAGGCTGACCAAGCCCAACTCCCTCAGCCGTTGCCCATGTGCTCCAGCCCTTTGCTGCCCTCGTTGCCCTTGGCTGGACTCGCTCCAGTGCCTCAATGGCCTTTCTAAAGTGAGAGGCTCAAACCTGAACACAGCACTGAGGTGTGACCTCCCCAGAGCTGAGTACAAGGGGGAAGAGAGATGACACTGTACTACAGAACAGAAACAAGTTTTCACCTCAGAATTTCCCCTTTTCAGTGATAATTTGCAGATTTGCTCATTTTACCTCCTTTAAGGTGGGCTTGAAATACAAAGAACAGCATGTTTAGTGGTAAATACTTACATCTACCACACAGCTGATCCAGTGTAAGCATCTAAGTCAATGCTGAGGATTACAAATCAATTCTCTAAGATAATTTATTTTTAAAAATTGTCAGCAAAAAAAATAACACCTCTCAAATACATACTGGAGAATATAGATGTGCTCAAGACTATGAACAGCTGTAAAGATTTATAAGGAGTTTCATAGGAAGAGGACAGGGGACCTCTGGTGGCAGAAGCCCACGTGACTCAACATGAACAGAAAGAGATTCAGTGACTCCTATCATTTTCATGAAAACTGATCAACACCTGCTACTGAACATGAGTAGCCTGAGTCAACTAAGCAAACAGCCTCAAGTCTCAGTTCTCCACAACTGCTAAGCTGAGAAGATGAAGAGAAAGAGACATTCTCTTAATTCACTAGTAACTGCAGAGAAAGAGACATTCTCTTAATTCACTGGTAACTGCAGACTTCATTCTGAAAGTGAGTAACTTTACATCATATCTTCAACGGTGTATCTCATGTATAGACAACTTGCAAGACAAGTCCATGGAAATAGTCAAATAATAGCCAAATTAGCTTAAGGAGACTTCCAGTTTTAAAGGTGTTCATTCATGGCCTCAGCTGATTTTAAACCACCCATCCCAACGTGCTATGGAAGTCAGGTTAGTTACAGCCTACACTTGTTCACCAAACACTGGTGGCACTTCTGCCTGGAGGTTCAGCATACCTGAAAGGGTTTCTCTCCGGTGTGCACTAGCTGATGTCGCTTTAGTTTCGAGCTCTCCACAAAGGCCTTGCCACATTCTGCACATACGTGTACTCGAGGGCCATGAGTGTGCAGATGCTTCCTCATGGCAGAGTTGTCCCTGAACATCTTTGTGCAGCCCTTAAAAAGAACAGTGAAACTCAATTAGTAGATAAGCTAGTTCTCACAAAGAAGGCTTTATCTGCTACAGTACAGGCATTCAAAATGCTTTTATATCCTGCTTACTCTTTTAAAAGTTGGCCCTGAAAAGAACATCCCTCACATTTAGCTTTAAAATGCAGAACAAGAAAACTAATCATTTGACAAGCTGACAAAAAAACCCCAAAACACAATCCCAAATAAAAATTATAAAAATACCCCAACACACTCCTCACTTAGTATTACGAGTCATGAATAATAGGAAGTCTCATGGAAAAGATGCAGCTCTGACAGAAGCAAATGAATAAATCAAACAGAAGCTGCATCTGCAGTTTCAGGGGAAACAAACAAACACAAACAAAAAAAAAACCAACTAAAAGAACCCCAAAAGACAGAATGATAGTTCATGGATACCTATGGTATATTCTTCAGTGTGCTACATTCCATGTACTACAATATAAGATATAGTCTCTAATATACCAGAGATTTTTCTCTAGCACCAATTTGTCTGTGCACCACTCCCATCTCCCAACATTCTTTCCTATTCCTGCTCTGTCTTCCTCATCTCTGAGAAGAAAAGGAGCAAGAGGGTTTCTAACACATACCAACTTACAGAAACTTGTCCAAACTGGCAGCAGCAGACAGATCACTCTCACCCTGGGATACAGAGATTGCCACTGCTGCTGCAGTTCAAACCTACAAAATGATACTGGCCAACTGAGTAAGATGGGAGAATCTTTAGAGTTAGTGCCAACTCATTCTAAAACCACAAGATACATCAACTCAGGTACAGCATCAGAAGTCGTGCCCTGCTGTCCATGCTGCATCGACCCAGGAACACTACTTTTGATTCCAGCAGTGACCTGGGGCTCTCTAACTCATCTTTCTACACCTTTTTTCTACCTTTCCATGACAATCAATAGACATATATTGTAAGTTTTATAAATGTCTTCCTCAAGGTTTAAAACCCCTCATAAAATCTTATTAACAGCCATAAATTCTATTTGTACTACGAGTGATGCTGCTTGAACTTACATAAAACTAGTCACCAACATCACTGAGTTATGAGGCATAAAATTTAACAGCAGAACTTAAAGGAACATTAAATGCTAATCTTAAGTTCTGCAGTCTTCATCTTTTTTTCACCCCAAAACATTCCTTATTTCTTAAAAAAGGGGGAACTGTCACTTTCAGGGACAGTGCTCTCTTCAGGCACTAGAATTTGTTCGGCTAATTTTGAAGTGTTGTGCCATCATTTGCTGCACAAAGCAGAACTGAGTGGGGCAAAGCAGCACCAAAATCAACAGACCATCGATTTGGTTTGCATTTATCTCCAAGTCTCTGCTTGCCTCAGAGGAGCAGTTACATCTACAATGTTTTCCTTTGTAAAACTGAAGTCTTAAATGCACAAAGCCTACGAACACAAGAAGATAGAAAATGGAAGGATAGAACACTTTTCTCCCCCCCCAGTCAGATGAAGTTGAGGCTATGAAAAAGTAAATCAAAGAGATGAAGGCAGCATTCCTTGGTGCTGTGAGGAGTGACTGTTCCTGTACCCCTGCATACTGTACAACAATAAAAACATGACACTTGGAGAACTGGAAATCAATATAAGCACAAAGAGGAATCCAGAAAATTCCTTACACCATGGCTGTCAGCAAGAAGCCTTCCATTCATGCTCTCTAATGGGCACTATTAGCTCTCTGCCCTGATTACTTGCTTAGCCTCACACTTATCTAGACCAGAAGTCAGCAAGATTGTGTTTTTTTCGTTAGAGGCTAAGTCAGCTAACAGAAGCACTACAAAAGCTGGAGAATGCAGTAAAGCCAGATGCTGCCAATCTAGTGACTGACAGCATGGATTCAAGACAGAGGTTTCCCTGCTGCCTGTGGTCAGAATCAGATCTCCAGGATGCCTCCCTCTGTCTTTCAACATGATGCACCTTCCAGCTCTGTGCAACGTAATTCAGTCTTCCAATAAGGCTGACTTTGGCATCTGCACCAGAAATTGCTGATTCCTGATCTAGACTCCAAATCTGTCATAGTTTCCAAGCAGAGGATATATAGATCTTAGGAACGTACTTTGAACAGCTTTCAGAACATTCTTTCAAGTATGTATTCTTGGGTGTCGGGAAATCACAACAGTAAAACCAGCATGTTAGGGACTGTGCATCATGGTTACCAGAAGATTAGGGATGTACTAACCTTAAGACAAGGAATGGGAATAATATATTATTCAGTGAAAGGTTTTTAAGGAAGCCTCTCGAGAACAATAACTAAAATACAGTTAACTGAGTGTATAGTCTATTAACAGTAAGATATTTTAGTTATTCATTCTCAAGAGGAAACAGCAATACAAAATTCTGATCTACAAATTATTGACTGCTCAGAAGCTGAGCACTTCACTTACTTTGTGAGGACAAGCTATCGTTCGTGGAGCATCATCTTCTTTAATTTTCCTTGGTTTCATTCTTAAAGATAAAAAATAAACAACAACAAAACATTAGTAGAGAAACATTAGTACACAGCTCTTCTCCCCTAAGTGTCTACAAAACGAGCCCATTTATCCCACAGTATTCTATGTGTCAGTAGTACCTGGTTTAATATTTTCAAAACCTTTATCGGTATAACTTAGCATTGGGAATGTTCTGCTTTTCCAGAAGGATCCCTCAAGTACAGAGTAAGACACTTAATACTACCTTACTAATCCTCAGAATATGTGGAAATAGAGGTTTGTTTTTTCCTGACTTATACTAGTTGTAATTAGGAAGTGTTCTCTGAAAACTCTGTTTTTGTTGTGCCAGTATCCATGTGGCCCATTCAGCTTCATTTCCTCTCCATCCCTGCACTATGAAAGAGAGAAATTCAATTATTCTGCAGTATTTTCACCACACAAGACTTCAGAAGAAAACTCTACAGAAGCAGAGAATCTACACAGACAATGTAGGTATCCACTACAACCACAGAAACAGTAATTATTCATAGAATCACAGAATTTTAGGGTTGGAATAGACCTTATAAATCATTCAGTCTCAACCCCCTGCCCTGGGCAGGGACACCTCCCACCAGAGCAGGTTGCTCAAGGCTCATCCAACCTGGCTGTGAACCCTGCCAGGGTTGGGGCAGCCACAGCCTCCCTGGGCAACCTGGGACAGTGTCTCACCACCCTCACAGGGAAAACTTCTGCCTAATACCTAACCTAAATTTCCCTCCTTCAATTTGTGCCCATTGCCCCTTGTCCTGTCCCTGCAGCTCCTAACACAGATCCCTCTGCAGCTTCCCTGGAGCCCCTTCAGCTCCTGGAAGGTGCTCTGAGGTCTCCACACAACCTTCTCTTCTCCAGGCTGAACAGCCCCAACTCCCTCAGCCTGTCTCTACAGGGGAAGATGTTCCAATCCTCTTATCAACTCTGTGTCCTCCTCTGCACTTGCTCCAACAGTCCCACGTGTTCTTACTTTAAGCTACTGTACACACAGATTCCAATCTTGGCAACTGACAAACAATCATCTGTTCACTCTTGGTCACTGACAGGGATTTTCACCTTTACTTTATGGGTGCCACTAATCTCCACTGACTACATAAGAAGACTAGAAAACTATTGCTTGTATGTGTTAAGGTCTGTTCACATACAATCAGACTCAGTACAAAGAACAGTGTTGTCATAACCACCCCGTATGGGAATGTCAGAAGAACCAGATGTGTGACACTGCTCTGGGGAAGAGCACTGCACTTACCTGCAATGCTGTCTTCAAAAAAATCATAAAGAAAAGACTTATCCCCACCCAATGGCAGCAGTAGGTAGGTGTAAATAAATGCATCTCATACGGCTGGAGATTCCCTTAGGTAAGCAGTGTGATTTTGCACATTCTCATGAATGACTTTTCCTGGTAACATAGTACAAGACAGTTCTGTCTGACCAGGTGGCTGCATATCACATCTAAGTTAAACAAAAGGCTTTCTGGTGTGCTCTCTAATCTCAATTATACAGAGATGAATGGCTTAATGAAACAAAATTAAACAAAATAATTGGAATTATCAGAATCACTGTTCTTAACATTAAGAAGGAGAAGTGTCTGTTGCTATCCCAGACAGTTTTAATCCCTGTGAGTTCAGTTCCTGGAAACTGATACAGGAGAACAGGGTTAAGAGAGGAGACTTCCAAGCAGTGCATACATGCACTTTTTTATGTTTA